ACCCAAAATCCTGAAACCCTAAACCCAAAACCCAAAACTCTAAAACTGCAAACCCAAAAACCCGAAACCCTAAACTCCCCCCCATCCCATCCTCGCACGGCACCAGGCCGGAGCTCTGCTCCTGAGGCGCCAAAGAGCGCGGACGTCAGCTCCGAGGGGTCCTTGGAGCTTAGGATGAAGTAGGTGTTAGAGCCTATAGAGGTGTATCTGTATATACATATATCTATATGCATACATATATATATATGTATATCCAGAGGCGTGTAATTATATATATATATATATATGGGTATAGTTCTATTCGCGTCCCCCAATGGGGTCCTTCCTAACCACCATGATCAGGGATGACGATGTTACTGATGATGATGACGATAAGGATGATGATGTTGATGATGATGATGACGATGACAAGGGTGATGATGCTGATGACGATGACAAGGGTGATGATGCTGATGATGATGTCCATGACGAAGCTATTTGGCTGCTTGGCCCCTTCATCTTGGCACTTCGGTAGTACATGCCATGGATGCTGTCAATGCTTTTCGAAAGAGCATTCGGGATGAGCACTTTCAAACCAGTTCCAGTTTCATGGCCAACATCATGTGCTCCAAGTTAGACATCGAACGGGAATGCGACTTGCCAGACACTATGATGCTGCGAGCTCTCATGGTGTTCATGGCTTATGGTATGGTGAAGGTATGGAAGTGTTCGACTTGCAAGTCTTCGTGCACTATACGCTCCAGAGATCCTGCCAACAGTCTCTACTGGGTGTGTAAAACGAACTACTCACGCAAGCACTTCCAGAAGACTGTCACTGTACCAGCTTTGGCAGCCTTGCGAAGCCAGACTTGGATGGCGTTTCTACATTTCCTTGTCTTCATGGCATGCAACGAGAAGATGATGAGAATCGAGGAAGAACTGCTGAGTGTACATGGCACAAGCAAGAGCACTGTGCACCGATGGCAGGCATTTTACCAGAATTGTCTTACGACCTACATGAATGCACAGAACCTCAACAAGGTCGGTGGTCACAAGAGACGCTGTGTTGTGGACGAAACCGCTGTGGGGAAGGTGGGAGTCCGTGTGGGCAAACCAGCATCCAAGCTAGGATCAATGACCAGACGTCCTGTGCGCATTTTGAG